ATTAAAAAGATTTCAGAAAATTTTAAATTAAAAATATTACGATATTGTTATTATTAGATGAACAATTTGATTATTTTTTAATAATAACTTTAACTTTTTCATTTAAACTAATTAATTTAAGCTAACACTTTATAACCATATATAATTACAAAAGTTACGAAACGTCTCAGTTACAAAACAAGGTAGTTACGAATCGACCAGGTACGAAACGACCAGGTTACGAAACGACGTGCATTCAATTAAACATATTAAAATGCAGCATAAAAGCTTTATTATTTTACCTTACACCATCAAAATAGAAATTTGTGTAAAATTGAAAATGGAAATGGGGAATATGTCAAAGAGACAACAACCCGACCAAAGAGCAGAAAACAGCCGAAAAATGCGGCGGGTTATACATGTTTTGTGAGATCTCAACCATCCCCCTATACCTCTAGTCAATGTCCAATAAACAAACACACAGCAATACGCACAATAAAACTCAGTATAAAAGAAGTCTGAGTCCGATGTCAGAATAGGTAACAGAAGAAACTAAGCAAAATGACAATGATACATAAGTTAACAAAGGACTACTAGCAGTTACTGACATGCCAGCTCCAGACCTCAATTAAACTGATTGAAAGATTATGTCTTCATCATATGAAAATCCAGCACAATCTTTCCCGTTAGGGGTTTAGTATGATACCATCATAAAATATATGAGATGAACATAACCCGTGTCATGCCAACAACTGGTTTTAGAACAAAAGTGTTTATTTCCGATGCAAAGACCCTATGAGTGAATCAATATTAATATGTAACACTCCCAAACTTGTCCATCCCCCCAAACGTGTCGGATTCCCCCAAACGTGTCTTATTTTCTCCCATACGTGTCCGTAATATTCAATATGGCCCAAACGTGTCCGATTTCAAAACCCCCAAACGTGTCTGATAATTGTTATTCGCCAAAACGTGTCCACTGTTAAACGCCAGAACGTCTCACATCTTTTAGCGCCAATACATGTATGTCCTAAATAAAATCAATAATGTTTACGGCATTTCTATGATGGGGGAAACAGTTGATGAGGTAGTAATTTATTAGCATTAGTTTGTTCAATGCCGGTTGTTAATGATTATCATAATTGCAAATTTAATATGTAACATATGAATTAACTTTTTACTGAATTTGCTTATTGTCCAGTTGCAAGTATTTCATGCTCATTTAGATCGAACATACAAATAATTCTAGTGCAGTTGAATTAATCGTTTACTATGTAAATTACTAATAAACTCCGATGATGCCTTTTATTTTAATCCCGACGGCGGGCTTTCAGCAGAATTGACTTCCCATTTTTACAACAGTTCTGATATTTTAAAAGCTCTTCAAATCATAAACTGGTTTTCAGGTTTTTTGATAAATTTTAGGTTTCGAGCATCGACACACGAACAAGAGAATTAACGTCCAGTGCCAAATATTTCATGCATTATTTGAACGAAATCATGTTAACAATAAATATTTTATATAGGTTCTATTATCATACCGGGAATTTTGGATTGGGCCAAAATTTTGACGGTTATTTGGGATTAACACTAGTTGGGATTATAATCTAAAAAAAAATAAGAATGTGTGAAGACCGATTTTTTTATGACTTCAGTAAGAAACTACACAAATCTCCGTTATGTAATAGAGGCCATTTTTAATAAAAGTTGCGGAAATTTTTAAAAAATGTTGCCTTCCAAAATACAACTGATGGCACCATGAAAGAGTGAATTGCTACAAAGGTATTAATGCGCAGAGAATGGGACATTCTCCCTACACGAGGTATCTGATTTAAAATCTACAATTTAACTGAGCATGGCTGCTTACATTTACATCCAACATAGCCGAACGGATGCCCCCACTTTTAACCAGGCTATACTGGCGGTTTAAAAAAGACCTAAAGTAATTTATTTCTATTTTTTAATGAAATAGTAAAATGAGTATACGTTATTGAAAAAAACAATAACCAAATAACCTACGTATTTATAATATGGACACGAATGATAGTTCTAGTAAAAGAAACAAATTAAGCTTTATATGGACACGTTTGGGGGATTGGGCACGTTTGGGTGTTCATTAAAAAATGGACACGTTTGGGCATTTAGACAAATGACACGCTTTGGCGCCCTTTTATGTTTAGACATGTTTTGCAGTTCAGTGACGTCGTGTGGACACGTTTGGGGGAATCGGACACGTTTGGCGGGAAGGACACGTTTCTGAGTTACAAATATATGCCATCTTCAATGACCTGACAACAGTATCGTAACTATATCCCTTCTAAATAAGTCTGTTTAAAGGTTTGGTTAGCTTTTGAGGTGAATGCTGACATTTTTGTGCTTTGTAAAGAATATTACCATAAAAGATTGGATGTGAAATACCTGAAGGTATAAGATGTCTGCATGTTGATTTATATTTACAAATAATGTCCTTGTTAACCGATGATAAAATTTAGTAAATGTTTTGACTAGTTTGTGATATTGA